CTAGTACGTAACAACACTAATCTGTTATCTCATCGATCACATACTGGATGCTCTTGAGATGCTCATGGAAGAGGTTGGTAACACTTCAAGACCATATTAGCAATCTTATTTTAAGCAGGCATTTTTCGTGCTAGGCTAGCCTTGTCGTTTTCATAACCACATTCTACAATGAAGTAAAATGTCAGGAACCGTAAAAATATAGTCACCTTTATTAAATGTTCATTTATAAGAGAAGATTGAATGACCAATCACTTGTATTTTCGATTAAATAACAAATTATTATATTCCTCATTTGCATAAAAATTAAAAGAGGAGAGTGTGACTGACTTTATTTTATCACTATAGTTTGTCCTGTCTTTGATAAAACACTCTAGTTGTTTTGTATTTAATAATGATGTTGTTGTTTGTTATTAAGCACAAAGCTACACAATGAGCTATCTGTCCTCTGCCCACCACGGGTATCGAAACCCGGTTTCTAGCGTTCTAAGTCCGCTGTGCCACTGGGGGGGGGGTATTAATAATTAAAGTTGTTGGAATCATTTCTGACTGCTATAATAAGTTAGCCTGTTTCTGGATATTGTAGTATTCGTATAATATTTTTCTTATTTACCACTTTCAAAACAAATTTTAGTACAGTTTGTCTCGATAAAATATAACTTGTCATATGTAAGATTTACTTGATTAAATTCAAAAATATCAATTGTTCAAGACTACTACAAGTACATAAAACATTATTTTCATAATAAGTACACAATTAACACTATTGTTGAATACACGCAATGTTTAAGTACTGCGTATGTTTTCTCAAGATCATTGAACATAAACAGCGCATGTATGAGTTTGTCTGCATCTTATGTTCTGTTTGTTCTTCCTTTGTCAAGAGTGGTTTATTATTATTTACTTTATTTTGTACACCCCCCCCCCTCAGTGGCTCAGCGCTAAGTCTGCGGGCTTATGACGCTAGATATCGGATTTCAATAGCTGCAGCGGGCACAGTATAGCCTATTGTGTAGCTTTGTGCATACCAACAAACAAACAAAACAGACAATTTTAATTCTGTACCACGTTATAAACATTGTATGCAGAAGAAAAAAGTGATATTGTAACACTGATTTTCCAAAAGTGGAATTTTGCATCAGGGAATAACTACCAAACAACAGAAGTTCGTAGTTCTCTGACTTTTTTCTTCCACGTTGTTTTTGATGCACTCAGAGCTTCAAGAAAATGTAGATCGTGTTCAGCTGCATCACATCTCGAATGTTAGTCCATGCTAACTACTAGGACGACTGACAATTATGTTCTGAACTATTAATTAGACTACTGTTAATACATACACACAAGGCATTTCGAACATGTACGTAGATTGTACAGAGTTCGTATTCGCAATTGGTAAAACCTCTTATATAACATAAGGCCAGTTTAAAAGATGAAAGTTTTTAGTCCAAATTAAGATAGAAAGTTTTGGATAATTTGAACTAAATAATTTATATTTAAACAATAAAGTTTACGAAACAAGAAGATTCACATAGCACTGGTTTAAGTTTGAACAAATGAACTTTGTAAAGAAAAACTATGTACAAAAAAATAAGCAGTAGTATAACATCTGAACCATGGTTATCAGCTTTTAGTATATCAGTTAAAACCATGCGACGTTGATAGAAATATTAAAACTTGCAGAGCTTCAGCCATTTGAACTTTTACAACATGAAGCTGATGCCAAAAGGAAATGTTTAATGCTGATTGCCGTATTCAATAAACATGCACAGCGAATGACGCACACGCACGGCGTCCCGCCATCCTCGTGATGCTATCGATAAAAAACGCCTTGCGAGGGTCAGGTATATATAACTAGCATATGCCTTCTTCTTGAAGTTGTAATTGTAATAAAGCATTAGAAATACTTAAGAAAAGTCTAATTCCCACACAAAAAGCAATAGTCTTATGGTGATGTAATATCCCACAAACCACTGATCAACAAATCATGATTTGTCAACTCAGCTGTTATACACCATATTACTTGATATTGTTGTGTTTTTTTTTATCTGTAAACTTCTATTTCTACGAAATTGCACTTCTGCCAAGTTGTACTTGTGTATATATTGAATGCCGCTCTTGTGAATTGTAGTGTTTAAGCCAAGTTGTGCTAAAGCAAAATATTGTTAAAACAGTGGCATACATATGCAAAGTCGCGTTTCTTTAGTGACATCACGATTAGAATGTGAATAATCGTAACACTTGTATTAATCCTGATGTTACATACCACAATAGCCATTCCAAAGAGATTAATACGTGCTCGGCTATGTTTCTGTGCCATGGCTCCTCTGAGCTGTGGTTTTTACATGTTAGTATGAGCTGGGAGTTAACCTTCATTTGAATATGTAAGATGAGAATAATCACAGACATAGGTAATCTATGACTTCGATTTGATTTAAGAGTATGGTCATAG